TCTCATTACCAAAAATATGTTGACCAATATTTAATGGAACATAACAATTTTAACATACCTAAATCACCAGATAACATATTATATTTACTACATTCAATTTTCAAACTTGTCCTCTTTACTTAAGGTTAGTGTTCACCTTGGCTTTGGCGCCGGCTAACGTGATGAAACCTCAAGCAGCGCCCATGACTTGTAACACTTAAAAGGCCTTTTTGGAATGCATTAACACTCACCTTCACTACTTGTAGTACCCTTTCAGTCCCAACTAAATCCGGGATAAACCCCCCAATGCCTACAATATTTGCAATAACATCTCAGCCTGGAAAACGTCCACTGCTGAACAACGGTCTCCCCCAAAGATCTCCACAACGATCGGTCCTGCGATGCTCGCATCCAATGCCTTCCAGCGATCTTGACCAGATCGGCAATCAACCTTGCTGGAGGCCTTCCCACGCTGCGTCTTCCGGTCCGCGGTCGCCACTCGAGGACTTTACTGCCCCAACGGCCATCGATCCTACGAGCTATGTGCCCTGCCCATTGCCACTTCAGTTTTGCAATATCTCTTATTTGTTTGATAATAGCAAACGCTCCAACTTTCAACGCTCGTTACATCAGTTCAGTCTGTCCTTCTATCTACTTGTCAATGTCACGAAGATTAGGCTCTGGCATCTGTCGTTCCGTTTCAGGTTTTTCTTAATGCCTTAGATAAAGAAACATGTCTCGACGATGTGTATTGATTTTATACTGGCCAGCCACCCCGGCTTCGCACCGATGTACATGTATTATATATATAAACCTTCCTCTTGAATCACTCTATCTATTAAAAAAAACCGCTTCAAAATCCGTTGTGTAGTTTTTAAGATTTAAGCGTATATACGGACAGACAGACAGTGACTTTGTTTTATACTATGTAAAGATTTTTAATTAATAGTGGCTCACATGATAATAATAATAATAATAATCTCAAGACAATTCACACAGCGCCATCTAGTCCCAAGTTAAGCTAGCTAAAGCTTGTGTTATGGGTACTAGATAACTGATACATATACACAGATTTTTTTTTGTAAATACATATTATACATAGAAAACACCCAGAGCGATACAAACAATCATACTCATGAATACAAATGTTTGTGCCGTGCGAGGAATCGAACCCGCGGCCATCGGTCGTAAAGCGGTGTGCAAGACCGCTAGACCACCGAGGTGGTCATGATAGTTAACAAAAAGAATGATCAGCGATTCAAAAGATATTGTGAGCGATATTCTAAGACGCTTTCAGCGGCCGAATGTAAAAATATCCGCTAACGAGTAATGAAATATTCAACAGGCCATGCATATTCAATGAATTAAAACAACCATTGTCCTATTATCTATGGATTTTAGCATTTTAACTTCCAGATGGACGGGGGGAGATTCCGCTGTTTTAACTACAAATGGAAACTCTACAATTTAACTGTATTTATTATATATATATTCTTTATTGCACTTTTAAATACAGTTCTCAGAGTGAGCAAAGGTGGACTTATCTCTAAGAGAGATCTCTACCAGTCAACCCAACAGTGTGGCAACAATAGCTAGTAGGGAGTAGGTAACACTTATGCAATTAAAACTATTATGTTAAAATCTCCAAAAGTAAAGTATTATGTTTAGTTAAAAAGTTTAATTTTTAATTTCGTAGTGCGGTGGTTATCACTTTACTACTGTAGTGGTATATGTTATGTGATGAGGTGTCGTTTCATAATATATTGTTTACTAGCTGCACCCGCGACGAAATAAAAGTAGCCTAAGTTGCTCCTTATTACATCAGCTATCTGCCAAAAGAAGTCCTGTCAAAATCGGTCCAACCATTTCAGAGAAACTAACTGTACAGGCGATTACGTCCGCGTGGATTTTAACTTTATTTTTCTGAAATAAAAGTCAGCTACTTGTCCATAAAACTCTCGTCAAAATCAGTCCAGCCATTTCAGAGATTAGCCGGAACAAACAGACCGACAGACAGATAATAATGATAAAAAAATGTTGGTATATGTACCGTATTTATATTCATATGCATGTAGTAGAAAACGGTTATTTCAATATTACAAACAGACACTCCAATTTTATTTATATATGTATAACCCAGGACAGTCCATATCGCGCTGGTCTCTAGCTAAGTAAAGCTTATGTTGTGGTTACCAGACAACTGATGTAAATACTTCAATATTTTTTTTGTATATATATTCACATTATAGTAATCATTCACCGATACAAACAATCATACTTATGAATACAAACATTTGCGTGCGACGATTTGAACCCGCGACCATCTGTAGTGAAGCGTACTAAACCACTACACGAATGAGGCTGTCGAGCTAATATTGTATAATATTATTTTCTAGTTCAGACTAGACTAAAAGCCTGTCTGAGTTAGCGCTTACTGTAAGCGCTCACTTGCGACAGGATCTTTAATGGATGTTCAGACATGTCAATAATCTATGATTAAGCTTTAAGTCTGGTCTGTTGATAAAATATCACTAGCATCTCGCCCCGGCATTGCCAATATCTTATAATATAAATAATCTTTGTTCAAATAAACTTAGTAATCTATACATATAAATAAAATTGGAGTGTCTGTTTGTAATATTCAAAATAACAAGTTTTTACTACATGCATATGAATATAAATACGGTACATACACCGAAATAACATTTTTTACTATTTTTGTCTGTCGGTCTGTCTGTATGTTCTGGCTAATAATAACGGAGACAATATACTGCCTTGAGGGATATAACTTATAATAACCTCAGGACAATTCACACAGCGCCATCTAGACCCAAGTTAAGCTAGCTAAAGTTTGTGTTATGGTCTAGATAATTGATACAATTACATAGATTTTTTTTTTCGTAAATACGTACATATATAATGTACGTATTTACGAAAAAAAAAACTATGTACATAGAAAACACCCAGACCGATACAAACAATCATACTCATGAATACAAATGATTGTGCCGTGCGAGGAATCGAACCCGCGACCATCGGTAGTAAGGCGGTGTGCTAAACCGCTAGACCACCGAGGCCGTCATAACTTTATCTTATATATAAAATTCTCGTGTCACAATTTTAGCCCCTCCGATCGATCCCCCGTCCAATTCAAACCCATTTCGAACTGAGGTTCGAACCCCTAGTGGTGCCCTCAGACTAAAGTCGTATCCGTCAAGCAGGAGTTGGCCTTCAGCCGCTCCATAAGTCCTTCCTTTGGTTTGGAGTGCCATCTGCACTCGCCCCCTAACGTCCGGTGAAGCTGTAAAGGCCAGCTGCGGCCGACAGCATTAGAGTAGTCCGAAAAAAAGTCACAATGTTAGTTTCTATACTCCTCTAAAACGGCTTGAACGATTTTTTAAAAGTTTAATATGCATATTCAAAAGGTCTGAGAATCTCTAAGTGTGTGTGTAATACCTCTAAGTGATGAGGGTTGTTCACTATAAAAAAAATATTATATTTGTTGGACATAATTTTTTTTATATTTTATTCTTATTTATTTTTATTTTTTATTTATAAGTATTATATATATACAATTGATTTTTACAATTATCGCCAAACTGCTTTGCAGTTTGTTGGCGAATAGGGACACTCATTTTTACTTATACTTAATTTACAATTTAACTATAATATAGAACTTATACTAATCCATTTTTTCGAGTAACCATCTTTTCAATTTAAACTTAAATATTTCTTTACTTGAACAATCGTTTTCGTTATAAATTTTATTGAATATTCGTGGCGTAATGTACCTTTCTAGCCCGAAGAATTGCGACTTTGAAGTGGCAATAGCTCGTAGGACAGATGGCTCGTTGGGGCAGTAAAGTCCTCGAGTGGCGACCACGGACCGAAAGACGCAGCGTGGGCCTCCAGCAAGGTGGACCGACGATCTGGTCAAGATCGCGGGAAGGCATTGGATGCGAGCAGCGCAGGACCGATCGTCGTGGAGATCTTTGGGGGAGGCCTATGTCCAGCAGTGGACGTCTTCCGGGCTGCGATGATGATGATGATGAATGTACCTTCTTGTTCTCTCACCATAATAGTTGTATACCACCGGTTCAATGTACTTATTTATAGTTGTTTGTCTCATACTATACTCAGTTGTTTTTTAACCTTATACTTATTGCATTGATATTGTTCTAATGCCAATAATAAACTATTTCATGTATCGGGAGAATATTACATTTCGTGAATAACAAATTGTAGTTTCCTTTACATTTCTTTTTAAATTCCGTATCTACTGTTTCAAAAAACGTATTTGTATGTTATACAATTTATCAAGATAGGTACGAAAGGTACAACCATACGCCAGACCATAACTTTATACCGCGTCTGCCAATGCCCAATACAATGAAAACAATATCGACCTACTAACTACATATTTAAGCTGGATGAACTTATTGTTTTATAATGTAGCATTAAAAGTACATACAACTCTAAATTTTCATTTTTCTATCAGCGATCCCTAGTTTTTAATTGAGATTTTAATTTATATGAAGAAATAATATAATGAGCAACACGTTTCTTGCTCGTTCTTGACGGCCTCGGTGGTCTAGCGGTTTAGCACATCGCCTTTTCCGATGGTCGCGGGTTCGATTCCTCGCACGGCACAAACATTTGTATTCATGAGTATGATTGTTTATATCGGTCTGGGTGTTTTCTATGTATAATATGTATGTATATGTATGTATTTACGAAAAAAGAACATATCTATGTATTTGTATCAGTTGTCTAGTTAGTACCCATAACACAAGCTTTAGGTAGCTTAATTTGGGTCTAGATGGCTGTGTGAATTGTCCTGAGATTATTTATTTATTTATTATTTATTCTCGTGATGAGACAGCTTTCCGAATGAGCGGTAGATTAAAAGAATGATAACTATGACTATTCAAAAGTGCTTATATGAAGTTTATTCGAATAAATGATTTTCTATTATATTCTATTGCAAAACATTTGCGGAGTCAGGTAGTTAGTATATAAGATTATTGTAACACGAGCCGCCCTCTGTTATCAACGATGCCAACCCTCTGCATCCATCCTATGAAGCCTCTGTTCTGTTGCAAATCCGCCTTCTTACCTCCCACGCACTCCGCCAGAGGGCGTCGTTGCCAAACTGGAATTAATAAGAATAATTCAGTTAAACAAGATATGTTATATTTAACAATAAATCACCATTATCATCATCATCATTGCCTTGCCTACATCCTGTTGTCTATATATATAAATAAAACTGGAATGTCTGTTTGTAATACTGAAATAACCGTTTTTTACTACATGCATATGAATATAAATACGGTACATAAACTATCATTTTTTACAATTTTTGGCTGTATGTCTGTCTGTTTGTTCGGGCTAATCTCTGAAATGGTTGGACCGATTTTGAAAGAACTTTTTTTGGTAGGTAGCTGATGTAATAGGGAGTAACTTAGACTATTTTTATTTTAGAAAAATTCTTTTATTTTAGAAAAATAAAGTTAAATTCCACGCGGACGAAGTCGCGGGAATAGCTAGTACATAATATACATAGAAAACATCCAATCCAAAACAAACATATTCATCAATACAAATATCAGTACAGTTCGAGTACAATTTTTGGCTGTCTATCTGTCTGTTTGTTCTGGCTTATCTCTGAAATGGCTGGACTGATTTTGATGAGACTTTTATGGACAAGTAGCTGACTTTTATTTTAGAAAATAAAGTTAAATTCCACGCGCACGAAGTAGCCGGTACAGCTAGTTTAGATTTTTTTTTTCTAAGTATTTTACTACAACAATATATTTTAGTTATTATATTATATTTTTTAAAGCTTTGTAATTTTAGGTTCTTAGTTGTACAATTAAGTTATGTAAATATTACTATCATTACATTATAGTATTCTTGTATGTCATATAGACTTACTTGTTGAAAAGTTAAAGAATTCTCAATACTTACTGACAGAGTAAGTACAAGAGTCGTAATCCAGTTTGCAATGATTGCTGAACACCTTTCTTCGGCCAGTGGTAGATACAGCACACTCGGGGTCATAATCATCAGGGCACGAGATCGGGCAGCGGTGGGAACAGAAACGGCCGTTGATATCTTTATTTTGTGATCTATAGTCATAGGTTTAGAGCTTAAATTAATATATTTACCATCGCATCGCTCGCCATCGACAAGAAATTCATCCCCACACGCTAGAACCTAAGTGGTCTCGGACAGTGCGGTTTCAGAGGAGCTTCCTCCCGCGTACACTTAGATTGTGGAATGAACTACCTGCCGAGGTTTTCTCACGAGACTACAGCATGAGGTTTTTCAAGAAGAGTATATTAAGGTTTCTTAAGGGTCGGCAACGCGCACGTGACACCCCTGGTGTTTCAGGTGTTCATACGCTATGGTAACCATTTACCATCAGATGGGCCGTATGTCTGTTTGCTACCAGTAGTATAAAGAATATATAACAACAAGCTGCGATAAACTCGCCACCAGCTTGTGGATTCACAAATAATCTAAAGATATAAAAAAATTATAACAAAAAAAACACAAACACAAAAAAAAATATATATGACTCCAATTATGGAACTGCTGTAAGTTAGGTTTAGCTATTTTATACTCGCTAATTGTAACTAACATTGTGACACGAGAAATGTGATGTTTTTTTAAGGAAGCATAACATATAGGTACTTTAAATTATGAAAAAAAACATTACACACACTACCATATATTTGACACACAGACATATATACTCTTTTGTTTATTGTTATAGTCTGTGGTCAAATTGAGAATAGATTAATATTGTTTTTCTTTAATATTATTTGTTTATAGTCTTACTGAATGTTAAATTAATTATGGTCTAATTTCGAGCACTGGGTGTTTTAGAAGAAGAAAGAAGAAGAAAAACATTTATTTACAACCATTATTGATAAAAAAAAATACATTTACACATTTGACAAAGGTACATTTTATATGTATATATTTTTAAAATCACTAGTATTCTGACTTAGGCGTAATGCCGGTTAGTCAGGGAGAGAAACACCTCAATGCCTACAATATTCACAATTACCTATCTCTTATTTGTTTTTATAATAATATCAACACTTTCGCTCCAAAACTCCCGCTGCCTACGTTCAATCATCTGTCATCCACTTGTCAATGTCACATAGATTACTTTGGCTCTGGCCTCTGACGTTCCGTTTCAGGTTACATGATATTGACTTTACCATTTTTAATTAATGGTGCGTCACACGATAGTTAACAATATATATACATATACATACATACACATGTAGAACAATTACAAAAAAAATCATAGTATATTATTTATACATATGGTTGGCAACATGGCTGACACTCAGCATACGCCGGGACAGCTAACTGTCACGACGCTGATATTCTGTGCCTACCATTAGTTAGTATAGATATAGGTACCTTCTAGAAGAATAACTTTTCCTCGCATTTAAGTCTATATTCTTCTTCTCTACAGCTACAACTCGTTCTGATTTGTAAACATACGGCCTGACACTGTAATGGACACCTATATTTTGACAATGAACGTTCGGCACTTTGGTATACCCTGTAAAAAGGCTTCTTTATTCATTTATTTAATTTCTGGCTAGGTTTTTAATTACTTGAAAATAGATAACTGTGGTTCCGTGTGATAATGCGTATATGATCGTTGACGAATTTCGAATATGAACTGTAACGGTTAACATGTTGTCTGTGGCCCGCTGAAACCTGACGATGCAGTGTTGCTATAGTAAAATAATATATTGGGCCAAATATAGTACAACCGCGCCTGAACACACAATATAAACTTACAGCTAATTGCCAACACGTTTATATTTTGAAACTATTTATACTACTTAAACTATACAATGATAAAAATATTCTTATTTTATTAATTATGGATCTCTGATGACAATTGATTTAATAATTAAATAATATTTAATATTTATATATTTTGCATGCCTAATGAGGCAAAACATAATGGGACATTATATTACAATAACAATCAATGTAAACCTATGTTTTGTGCAAATAAATTTGATTTGATTTGATTTGTTTGGAAGGCAAGGCTTCTGTATACACGTCAGCATCTTGGACCTTACATAAAAATAAATTTAATAATTGCAATGCTCTCATAGTGGGAGAATTGCTAGCGTGGCTTGTGTGTACCGACGCGGTTTTTTTTTTGTGGATGATAATGGAATGGTGCACCCGCCTGCGCTAACGGTTTACGCTGGCGGGGCACCAGTGGAGGATGATAAGATGAGCATGAGGTCAGGTCAGTTAGCCCATCGTGACAAATTCACCAGGAAGTTAACACGATGGTTTCCAGCCATTACTAGCTGTCCCGGCAAACGTTGTTTTGCCCTAAAATAAAAAAAAAATTAGGGGTGGACTACCCCTAACATTTAGGGGGACGAAAAATAGATGTTGGCCGATTCTCAGACCTACTCAATACGCTTACAAAATTTCATGAGAATCGGTCAAGCCGTTTCGGAGGAGTATGGGAACGAAAACTGTGACACGAGAATTTTATATATAAGATTATAAAACTACACAAATTTATAATTGTACGTTGTGAATTGGCAATTTCATATGGGTCATATTAATATGTTTTCAGACATTCAGACCTGAATATAGGAGACATAGATAAAAATATTTTCGATTTTTTAATATTAGTATGTATATAATATACTCACTAAAGGCGACGGATGAAAGACAACTGCATGCAACTGATGCGAATGTTGAGATGGATGTGTGGTGTGACAGGAAGGTAAGATAAGGTATGAATACATTAGAGGAAGTATGAAAGTGGCGCCGGTGTCGGAGAGGTTGAAGAGTAATCGTCTGTCGTGGTATGGACATGTAATGTATAGGAATGAAGATAATATTATAAGAAAGGTGTTACTTATGAATGTGGATGGTTATAAGGGCAGAGGAAGGCCGAAAAAGAGATGGATGGCATGAAAGATGATATGGGAAAGGGAGTAAATAAAGAGATAACTGCGAACAGGGATGAATGGAAGAGAAAACCATATTACGCCGACCACTAATAAATGGGAGAAGTAGAAGTAGATGATGATGATATACTTACTATTCTCTGCATATTTAAAATTGCAGTTGACCTTACGAAAATAGCAGTCGTTCAAAAATAGTCTATATCTCAATTTCTTATGCTCTATTTTCCCACCGCATGTAGAGTTTACCGTGTTGTTACAGTCTAAATTGTTGCAATCCATCAAAATTGGTTTATTCTTCTCTTTCCCACTTCGTCGTGTGCCGCTATGGTTGTCTCTTTCTTTTTCTTTAATCTCACTTTTGGCAACATTTTCGTTATTCTTGCCAGATATAAAAAAAATGTCTTTGGGTGCTTCTGTAAAAAAATGTGTTAGTGGTGTGACAAATAATTCGGTTTAACTGACGGTAACTGGTAACTATTAATATATACGAGTACATGAACAGCACTATGGACATCACGTTATCAGATAACGCCCGTGATACCAGTCATGTGTTGCCATTTCAGAGGACAAAAATAATATGCCTATACTTTATATTTCACGGCCTATAAATCCTCTCTGTGCGATCTTTATTACCTTATACCCATCTGGATACATCTACCTTCTTTTAGGCAGTATAGGCTAAGCCTGTCCTAATTAGATAAAATTAAAAAAAAATACGAACTATCTTTATGTAAAATAATTATTTAAAATCTCTTTAACAGTTTGGTCGTGAACATATAATCAGACAGACAGACATACTTTCGAATTAATAATATACCTAATGTATTTTTATTATTTCTTATTAAAACAATACAAAAAATATACCTGTATCAAAATTTATTCCTTTGCCCTCTAATACATCATCGACATTTTTGTTCACCATATAATCACCGATGTTCATCACATTCTTCTCATTAACCTGATCATTTCTCTGTATCTCTTTCTCATTGGGAATGAATACAATATCATCTGGTGCTGTATTAACAGTAGTCATATAGGATTGTGGTTGCGATAATTTTATATAGTCTGAGGTATCCATAGAGTTTTGACTTAATACATTTATTGGTTCATTAATCGCTTCTGCATGACCAGAATAAGTAATTAGGACATCTGAATCATTTTTAGGTGTATGGCTTTCAATAGAATAGAATAGACAATTTAATAATACATATGAAATAAACATATTGTATTTTATAAATATTTGACGTTTCAGTTTTGGCGGGAAAGTTGTTGTAGACTATTTTTTAGGTCCTTTGCCTGCAATATTTTAAAAACAAATATTTGTACGTTATTAGTATGATAAATTATCTGTGACTTTTTGTCTAGTTCACCTAATTATGAAAACACCATTACACTATTGTATTACTCAATTATGATATTTAACACAAAATTTAATATTGAACGTAATAATTTGAGCACATATTTACTAAAATGAATGAACAAAACGCACGAATGAATCCGATTGTTTCCCTTAAACAATGGTTACATAGAGTTTTGTTATTTCTTTTACAACTATAAATCTCTTCCATTGTTAAAGCAGTGTAGAATTGAGAATTTTCTTCTTTTTAACTTATTCGATACTATAAAAAAAGGGAATAGCGCCATCTCACGGCAGTCTTGCGTACTAAGTGAAAATGGTATACGCGGGAAAAGTATTTTCCAGAGTTTTCTTTAGTACTTACTCTTTAGTTATTGTATTTTATCATAGATGGCGCAAATAGTAGCGAATTCGTTTTATTAAAGAAATGTGTAATGAAACTTTTTAATAGAAATAAAAATATATTATTAATATTACAAAGGAAATATTTGGTTATTGTTTACATTTAATAGGCATCAAAACTATTACAACGATTTAAAACAATCTTTTGCTTATAAGTGATCGCTTGTATTGACTTCGAATTTATAAAACCGATTTGAAAAATTCTTATCATCACAATCCTTCAATAAAATAATAAATTAATGAATATAATAACAAAAAATCATTTGAATTATAACGTTCAAACTTTCTTCTTAATGCATTTTTTTAGTAACCTCCAACTCAAAAAGAAGGATATGTGTGTATGAGTGTGTTAAAATATATAATTTATGATTTTTTTTTAAATAAACTTCGGCTGATCGATAGTCGTTCATAAACTAAAAATAGTGTTAATTTATTCTGCCACATTATGTAAATATTATTGAAAAGAATAGACGATACTTTGTTATTTCAGAAATATAATAGAAATAATCTTTATTCAAATAAACTTAATATAATGTTGAATAGTCTTAACTTTAATTTTCTACCATTCTCGAAACGCAGTCATCTTGGTGACCGTTGCATATCTATAAAATTCTCGTGTCACAGTTTTCGTTCCCATACTTCTCCGAAACGGCTTGACCGATTCTCATGAAATTTTGTGAGCGTATTGAGTGGGTCTGAGAATCGGCCAACATCTATTTTTCATCCCCCTAAATGTTAGGGGTAGTCCACCCCTAATTTTTTTTTTTATTTTAAGGCAAAACAAAGTTTGTCGGGACAGCTAGTATATATATATATATATATATAAGAAGAGTATCACGGATATCACGTTATCACGTAACGCCCGTGACTACCACACATGCGTTGCTATTCCGAGGGACAAAGATGTTAGACCTCACTCTCACACAAATTATTATTATATATTCTTTATTGTAATTAAATACATTTTTAGGTATATTAATTATAAATAATATTAACAAAATTAAAAAAAAGTGTGTTAAAAATGATTTTTCAGGACTAAAAGAGATCTCTTCCAGTCAACCCAATACGGCGTGGCATAGGAAGTGTATTATATAAAAATATACTATTTATTTTCCGTTAGGAGTTGTTAGTAATAAAGTAACTTAAGCTACATTTATTCTAGATATTTAATCATTACATAGTATAAAACAAAGTCGCGGTCGCTGTCTGTCCGTCCCTATGTATGCTTAAATCTTTGAAACTACGCGACGGATTTTGAAGTGGTTTTTTAAATAGGTAGAGTGATTCAAGAGGAAGGTTTATATATATAATACATCACCACCTGTTTACCACAATTATATAATAAATGTACACCCGTGTGAAGCCTAGGCCAGTATCCAGTACTTTCTAATAATAAGAGTTAAATTCCTCCTGAGAAAAAGTTAGATTGTTTTATATATATATTTACTTTCGGTAGAACAAATAAATAACCTTAAACAATTAACACAGCGCCATCCAGTCCCACGGTAAGCAGAGCTTGTGTTGTGGGTATTAGACAACTGATATAAATACTTAGATATTTTTTTATAAATACATATGTACATAATATACATAGAATACACCGAGACCGATATACCAAAATTTATTGCGATGGTTTCCAGAGGAAAACGCATGGAAGACAACCTGATATGAAACATTAGCGATAAGATCATCAGTCCATATTACTAACAATCACCTTTTCTCTATATTTTCTGCAGGTAAAGTCGCGGCCTAAAACTAGCCTATTAAAACCACTGTACAGGGGAGAAAAAGGATTGTTAGTAATGTCATCATCATCATCATCGCAGCCCGGAAGACGTCCACTGCTGGACATAGGCCTCCCCCAAAGATCTCCATGACGATCGGTCCTGCGCTGCTCGCATCCAATGCCTTCCAGCGATCTTGACCAGATGTTAGTAATGTAAACTGATCAAATTGGGGGGAAGGGGATTGTTAGTAATGTGGACTCATGACCCCATTACTTGCAATGCACCCTATCAGGTTGACCTCCACGTGGTTCCCCCTGGAAATCATCGTGATAAATTCCTAGTGAATTTGTCACGATGAGCTAACTGACCTGACCTCATGCTCATCTTATCATCCTCCACTGGTGCCCCGCCAGCGTAAACCGTTAGCGCAGGCGGGTGCACCATACCATTATCATCCACAAAAAAAAAACTGATCAAATTGGCAGTAATGTACCATATAAAGTTGACCTCCATGCAGTTCTCCCTGGAAAGCATCGTGATAAATTCTTGGTGATTTTGTCACGATCTAACTAACTGACCTAACCTCATGCTCATCTTATCATCTTCCACTGGTGCCCCAGCGTAAACCGTTAGCGTAGGCGGGTGCATCATTCTATTATCATATAAATATAAAACGGTCACCACGATGACTGTGCGTTACGAATGAGTGGTAGAATAAAAAAGTTATGACTATTCAAAATTACAATAAGCTTATTTGAATGAAGTTTTTCTTTCTGAAGTAACAAAAACTTGCCTATTTCTTTCAATAAAATCTGCAGCGCAGACGGTTTCATAATCCATTCAAAAAATTATAAAAACAATCATATTCATGAATAAATAAATTCAAAACATCTGTTAAATCATATTTACTGAGCAAAGCCTATTACTCACTAAACGATTACTTGAATGACGAGTGTGCATGGCAATAGTTGTTCATGCACTGGATTTTCATTTAATGTTAGACATAGACACCTATATATACATTGTAAATAAACTGGCTTTAAAAAAAAAAGTAATTCAATTGAGTTTCTTGCCAGTTCTTCTCAATTGGATCTATATACCGAACTGGACGGTAGGGAAAAAAATAAAATTAGAATGTAAAAATTTGACGTTCATAAGCGGCTAAAATGTCCTACATGAATAAATGATTTTTGAATTTGAATAAATGTTTGCACCCTATACAGAAATAGCCACGCATGCGATGCACCATTCCATTAAAAATCATTCCCTATATACCTGAACAGCAGCATTGAAAGCACGTCATCACGGCATATTTTTTTACTTAAATAAATGCTTATTAATAAAATGTGATAATAATAATAATAATGACGCAAATGGGTGCACCATTCCATTATCATCCATAAAAAAACACTGTATGATGCCTCGTTCGTACACCCATATCGCGCCACGTGTTTCGCGGCGCGATATGGGTGTAGACTCAATAACGGTCGGAATTTGATCGCCACTGGAGAAGGTCGTAGCGCTGGTCAGGTTTCTACACTGAATATTCGTAGTCTCACACATGTTAATTGTAGCTGAATTAAACAAAATAATATCGAGTAGTGAAATGGACTTCCCCAAAATAACACCTAATTTGATTAAATATATATACACTGTATAAAAGACAATTTTGCGTCCTATCCTCATAGTTTTAAAGGGAAATCTTTAAATATCTCGTCTGTTCTCGTATTTATTAGCTGACTATCTAGAGTCTGGTGGTACAGGGTCCGCCCGCGGGGTACATTCAGCTTAATTAGGGAACACGGACACGGCAAAGTAACGCACAAAGCTCGTTCCCATTACCACGACATTCGACGAGAATATTGACGGAACGAGAAAATCCAACATTTTTATGAAATAAACTGTTCTTAAAACTAAGATCAGAATTGATTTTTAAAAAAAATAATTACAGCTGCCTAAGGAAATTAAACTAAAAAATAGATTTATCATAAAACAATTTAATTGTAACCTTTTAACAATACATCTAAATTTAACGAGTACAAGTCAAAATGATAACTTCTTACAACGCTTATTTTATACTATACGCTTTTGTCCGCGGCTTCGCTCGCGTTAATTTATCCCTTTAGGGGTGGAATTTATCAATATCCTTTCTTAGGGGATACCTACGTCATAGTAGCTTTATGCATGCAAAGTCTCAGCCCGATCGGTTTAAAATTGACAAAGTTTCGTACATACTTTCAACCCCTATTTTATCCCCTTGGAGGTAGAATTAATCAAAATCCTTTCTTAGTGGATGCCTACGCTATAACATCTACCTGCATGTCAAATTTCAACCCGATCCGTCCAGTGGTTTGGGCTGTGTGTTGATAGATCACTATGTCAGTCAGTCACCTTTGAGTTATATATATTTAAGACTGCAATATTAATTAACCACAAAAACTAATTAAAAACAGAAATAATTAACCACCAATTGAAATGAAACAAAACAACACTATGAATTTTGAAATATTATAACCGATAGCTAAACTAGCAGAGTATCATTCTAATAGTCTAAATTACAAAGCAAGAGTGTGTCGGTGCCTTTTTTTTTCTTATTACTCTAATGCTGTTGGCCGCAGCTGGCCTTTACAGCTTCACCGGACGTTAGGGGGCGAGTGCAGATGGCACTCCAAACCCGCGGAAAGACTTATGGAGCGGCTGAAGGCCAACTCCTGCCTGACGGATACGACTAGTCTG